TCCATTTCTTCTTTTTCACTAATAACAATTTGTCTTTGTTTCTTGTCCAAGAGGAGATTAATATGTTGAGCACTATTACAATAATTGCAATAGTCTAATTATGAGATTTTGATGAAAAATGTTCTGATAGTTTTCCTCTTTTACCTTTCTTACCTCGACTCTTCATTTTATGCCACGTGCGGATACCGTTTTCAACCCAAGCAACTTCACTATTCTCTCTACCTGGTCTATTTGGAAAGAGACAGCATACATAGCAGAATGCGCTATCTTTAAGTATGCTGTACTCTAAGTGAGGGTATTCTTTGTACCACAATGATGAAAAACGATTTTGCTTCCTTTTGTCAATATCTTTATTGATAGGAAAGTTATTAAGTTTTACTTGATGTGGTCCAAGCTCAATTAGATAGTTTCTTAGATTATCATTTTCAATTTTCGAACGCTGGTCAGGATCATGCGAAAGAAAGAAATTTTTTGTAGTAAGTGTTTCAATATTATCATATTTTCTTTTGTTTAAAATGTTTGCAAGAGCTTGGTCATTGGCATCCAAAACATTCTCTGCTGAAATTTTTACCTCAGAAGCAAGCTCTGTCATTTCAATGAGAAGTTTTTCCAAATGTAAATTGTCTGTATTTTTCACTTCATCTAGTTTTAATTCGCACTCACTTAAAAGTTTACACAGCTTTGCAAATATACCCACCGAATCTGAAAACGTAGTTTCTTTTTCCAATAAATTAACATCACTCGGTTGGGATTCTACTAACAGAGTTTGATCACAGAAATCAAAAATTTCAGGCACTGCTAGTATTTCATCATTAGTAATATCAATGTTTTTACTCTCATTTATTATCTCACATTCAATTTCAGATGATTCATTTTCAATTGCTTCAAAGATTTTTGTCAGATTTTCATTGATATTCATTTCCACTTCATTTGTAATGTTGCTTGGGCAAAGTTTTTGGGCATTGAAATTAATTTTAGACAAACTTATTTTGCTGCACAATTGGGAATTTATTGCCGAATTGGTTTCAAAAGGGTTTCGTGGTGCGCCATACTTCTCATAAGGTATCCCTTTATGGTTTCGGATATAATCCAAATGATAAATTCGATTATGTGTCATCCGATAGTCATTATCAAAAATTGAATGTGAACAGTTCTTGACTTTGCATTTGACTTTGTATCTTTTAACACCAGGATGTGGCATCTTTAACCCAAAATCTAAGATAATTACAAATTAAACTAACAAAATATTCGCCTTAAAAAAATATATAAATGATTTAATAAATTTTAAAATTTTTAAAATTTTATTAGTAAATACGTAACTTACAAGTATAAACAAAATAGTTTATTACTTCTTTCGCCAAACTTCCAATACTAGTACCAAATTTCTAATAATAAAAACACACCGCTAACTAAACTTTGATTTCTTCTGTGCCAACATCAAGTAAACAAGTCTCTTGATTAAGATTCTTGCTTGCTAAAGTAATTAGAAATTGTTGACTAATTACGTAACGCAATTTTTGAGAATAAAAAACGGCAACCAAAAACATGCTTAGCTGAGTTTTATTTGTAATACGCGTTAAATTCCTAAAAAGAATTAGTTTTTTATGTTTTGAAAATTAGCGTTAAGGATGATATAAAAACATTTTTGCAATACAGAAACAACAAGAAAATAATAATTTTAATATTTTGTCGGTTAAATAGTATAATGGTAAAGTTGTCGGTAAGATTACAATTTATTGTAATCTTACCGACAATTTACCATTGTACTGTTTAACCGACAAAATATTAAAAATCTGGGGGGGTGGACACCCCCCCACACCCCCCTATCGGTACGGCCCTGCCTAGTATCAAAAAAGACTTGTTTTCATAAATATTTTTATCTTTACTAAAATGAATTCAATTAGTATACAATATAAAATTATGTTCTACAAGAATTTACGTGGTGGTACTATGACGAATTTAAGTCGTGTTTACATCGATGTATGAGAGGGGCGAATAACTCTCTCTCTCCCCCCCCCCCCCAAACTAAAAAAAAAAAATTCAAAAAATTAAAATGACACAACTATGTTTCCTAAAGTCCCAAAACAAAGTTTTTTTCTGTAAAAAGGTTCTATAAATTAAAAGTTTTTTTCTGTATAAAAGGTTCTATAAATTAATACTGGACAACCACCAAACATTGAAGGTAAGTGTAAAACTCATGTTAAATGTTTTAACACACCCTAATATTGCAAAAAAAATTTAATTATGAAATATTTGATTGGTTATTTAAAGAACAACAACAAAGAAGTAAAAAATATATCTAACCCAGTAAAAGTTACATTTTTTAAAAAAAAAAGCATTTTTGATTAACTGGAGAATTTTTGGTTAAAATATTCTCATTCAGAGTGACTTCTATTATCAGTCAATAGTGGTAAAAAAGTAATCAAAACAAGGTATTTACCAACCTTAGTTAGGCTGTTTCAAACTAAAAAATAAATAAAATTTTATTAACACTAAATAACGTTTGATTATTTTAATGATGCTTTGTTTCATAAAGTTTTTTCTTAGCTTTTAGTGAATGATTACAATGATAAATTATACTTATGAAATTATTTTATAATCATTTTTAACAATAGACACTGCGTGAAGGTAAGCCAGAGCCGTCTTTCAAAAATACATAGCAAGTTACAACACTTGCAGTACTTTTGTTTAGCAAGTCACATCACTTGCAGTACTGTTTTTAGCAAGTCACAGCACATGCAGCACTTTTTTTTAGCAAGTCACAACACTTAAAGTACTTTTGTTTAGCAAATCACAACACTTGCAGTACTTTTTTTTAGCAAGTCACAACACTAGCAGTACTTTTTTTTTAAAACAAGTCACAGTACTTGCAGTTTTTTAATCTATAAATTTCAAATTTATATATTTGCAGTGTTTTAACAAAATAATATCTAGTCAACTCTCTGGAAACAATATCTGCAACAAGCTTAAACTTTTTCATGCAATGTTCTACAGCTTTGATATCCATTTAATTAACCAACCTTTAATAATTTTTAAATCTTTCAAATAGCACTTTGGCTGTTTCAAACTAAAAAACAAATAAATTGTTATTAAAAAGAAATAATAATGGTTTGTTTATTTTTTATCTCATATAGTTTTGTTTTGGCTTTTAGTGAATGATTAAAATAATAAATTTCTTTTGGCTAGTCACAGCACTGGTAGTATTTTTCAGCAATTCATTTGTAGTACTTTTTTTAGCTTAAATTTCAAACTTGTACTTTCACAGTGTTTTATTAATAAAATATAAAATTAATAAAATTGTAACTCTTCTGAAATAACATCTGCAAACAAGCTGGATCTTTTTCATGCAATGGTCAACAGCTTACATATACGTTTCATCATCTTTCCAGTAAGAAATAATGTAAACTAAGTCATTTTTTCAACTAAATACTTTTTCTACTCTGCCATTACACAAAACAGGCTTGGATGTTTAGGGTCATATCATTCATTCTATAGTTTTTTGCCTACAATTCTTCAATACATGATATCTTCTAAATTATAAAGTTGGTCATAGGCAAATTTTTGTATGAACCTATAATTTCATCATAATTCAATTTGGATAGCTAACGCTCTAACTTTTTTTGCTCTAACTTTTTTCTGTTTCATCGATTTTTTGGCACTTGAATGCCTGTCTTTGGGAAATATTGGCTCTAATTTTAGCCTGATGCAATCGATTGCTAACTCTATTTATACGTGTTACATGAACTTGCATTTAATTACTTTATCTCTCAAATTAATAATATAGAAACCTTACCAGCTGCAACAGATGACAAGGATATTAAAGATTAAACAATACAATGACACAAAAGATTAAATGGTACATGTAAATATTACATATTAAATATACATATATAGTACATATTAAATATACAATAACATAATACATATTAAATAGTATAATACTGCATAATCCACAAAATCAGACTATATTTCTCAATACATACACATAAAAATACACATTAATCTCTTAATAAAGTAAAAGACTAAATACTAAAATAATAAATTGCAAAAAAAAACTGACTTAACCTCTCAAAAGTATCATCTTAAAAACAAATGAAAAACTTTTTTTAACAAAATAATAAAAACATTTGTCTAGACGAAATCTATTGATCTTAAGTTAAAAAAAACTAATGAATATTGAATGTGTAAAATAACTAACTGATATATATCAGTATATATATATATATATATATATATATATATATATATATATATATATATATATATATATATATATATATATATATATATATATATATATATATATAAATATATATTATACATAAAAGTTGAATAAGGTTGCTAACATATATTAGTTATATATTACCATATTATATCTGTATCAACTGTAATAAATAATATAAATATTATTTATTACAGTTGAAAGATTAACAGTTAATCATTAAAAAAAAAAGTCTAGTTTTTACTTAGACTTTTTTAGAAAAAGATGCATGATACAACAAGTAGTAGCATATTGCAATTGTTATTGGAGAGACTTACAATGTAAGATAAAATATGTTATAATATTACAAATATGTCAGTTACATTTTTAAAAAATTCAACTTTAAAGTAGGAAACATTTCAACTTTACATTGAAGGCAAATAATTTATAAATAATTTAATAAATAGGAAACAATATTAAAAACTTTTATCAATATCTCTACGTTCCATTTTATTTAATCTAAAAAAAACTGAAAATTTTATTTAATCAAAATCAAATATAAACAATGTTTATTTAACCCCTCTGTCTCCCGCGACCACTTCAGCAAAGTGAAAATTAGGTACCAAAAGTGCGACAAAAAATAGACACCCTGCTACAATTTTTTTTTCAATGAAATTTTCCAGGTGCATAGATAAATGAAAAACTTAAAAAAAAGAATAGTATAGAAAAAAAAAAGAGCATATCTTCGACATTAATTTCATGCCCAAAGTACAACAAAGTTTTAGACATCAAAAAACTCAATAAAAAAGCCATCTAGAAAAATAATAAACCTCACAGTAATAAAGTTTAACTATTCTAGTTTCTAAAAATAATCTATACTGGTATTAAACTCTAAAAAGTTTTTTAACTAAACACGTCTTCCCTACGCTACCTAAAAAAATATCTAAAAAGCGTGGCACAGTTTTTTAGCACAATATTCGGTTCCGTAAAACGGATATTTCCACGTACCTCTATATATATATATATATATATATATATATATATATATATATATATATATATATATTATATATATATATATATATATATATATATATATATATATATATATATATATATATATATATATATATATGAGTGTGTGTGTGTATACTTATAATATATATAGACAACCACACAAACACAAAAAGTAGAAATTCATCCTCGTTAAAGTACCTTTGATATAGTCTCTAACCAGTTGGAAAGATATGCAGTCTCCCCTTTGTTTAGACTAAATAAGTTTCTTCTGCAGTAGGAACAAACTACAGTAGGACAAATTTCAAGATCAGAATCGAAGTTTGGCCAGATGTATTCTTGAATTTTTTCGCGCACTGAAGGTGTTATAGGTGTTTAAGATTTTGATCTGATACCTTTATTTATCAAGCAAACTGCACAAGTACATAATTTGAAGTCTGACGCCATGTTGAAAAGTGAAAGTTATATCCGTAATTCAATTATATCATTGCCATAAATAGCTTATTTGACTACCATAATGGCTGACTTTAATTAAACTTACGAAAAAAAAAAAATAAAAAAATTATAAGTTTTAACTTTAAAAATATACATACTTAGCACTTAGTTCAGATTTTTCTGACAACTTAAATTGTGTTTGCTAATGCATATGATTAATTAAATGCAAAAAAATTTAAAGTGGGGAGAGTTTCAACCTGGCGGTCAATTTGGAGAACAGTGCGTATTGAATCATCGTGTGTTAAGTGCTTTTAAACTTTGCGTCAAATTATCTCGTTTCAACATATTCGTTGTATTATCTATGCTACAGCCCTTGTTCAAAACGCCTTAACGTAAAAAAAAATAAATTTTGACTTTTTTAAAAAATAAGGTAGTTTAGATGTCTACAAACTTTAATGAATACATATTTTCAGAGAGTTCGGAAAAAATTCATAAAAGTTAATCGTTTCAAAAAACGTTTTACTAAGAGTTTCTCCTAATAATTTTTAATTGCGTTTTTCTCGAAATTAGTAATAAGTATGTTAAGGCGTTTCGAAAAATGGCTATAGCATTTATTTGTAGTGAAAAATTAAAAGTTTTATAGTTTTTTCTTGCTATGGGTTGTTTCTTTTGCTTTCACAGCAGCACCTTCTGGAGTAGCAGGACTGTCATATTATGTTTTTTCTTTATTAAGTTTCAGACAATTTTTTTTTCAGACCATCCGCAGCTTA